TCCGGCTTGCGTTCGGGAGCGCTGCCTCGGCCTCGTCCTCCGCCCTTCTGCTTGACGCACCGCTCGGCGGACGTTCCTCCTTGCATCGGAGCAGTCGACGTCGAAGCCTTCAGCACAGCTTGGAACATCGCACAGGAACTGCGGCCTCGGTGTAGGAAGGTGGGCAACGAAGTGCTTCTGAAAGTCCTCGAGCCTATCAAGCAGCTGCGAGCAACGGTTGCATGGGAGGATGTCGACATCGACGATCTCATAATCGTGGGCCGACCGATCCGCCCAACACCTCCCACTCCGGTACGCCTGACACAAATGGCGAATTGCATGTTCTCGAGCTTTGAATGACGAATGACATGAGACACGCTAGTTGATGATGGTAATGTGACGTATGAGATGTTTAAGGCCATGTTGCCCTCCCACTGCATTCTGCTGATGGACCCGCAGCGCGCGGTGTCTCAGGAAACGTCGGTTGCACTGCAGGTCGTCGGAGTCAAGAAGCGAACATTCGTGATCTCCGTCAGCTGCCTCGCCTGTTTCTAGAGGAGCAGAAAAATGCACAGGGTCCAGGGGTCGACGCAGCCATTCGGCCCTCCACTCTGCCATCATGAAGACTCAACGGCAATCGTCGTCTCGAAATACTGCAAGATCATCTCTCTTCACAAATGCTAGAAGTGCCCGGCCCGCTTCAATGATCTCGAGAGCTTCCAGGTCCATAAATAGTTGCTGAGCCGATGGGTTCGTGCGTGCCGTATTGGTTCTGGTCAGGGCAGACGGGGCCCAGCTGAAGATAGTCGGCTATTTTCATACTCCATCACGCCGAAGACCGCTGCCAGCTCTTGCGTATGCCACTGAGGATTTTTGGCAACGCGTTGCCAGCTTTTTAGACGCTGCACGCTCACTTCAAGCTCGATCGGGACAATATGCAGCATCCTCCAGAACTGCATCTTCGCCAGAGTGCGAAAAACATGTGAGACAAAGCCCTGCTCGTTCGTGCTCTCGATCTTTGTGGCGACACCTCCGAGCAGGACCTTGCCGTGCTTGATGCACATGGAGTCTATCCAAGATAGGCCAGCAATCGCCGCGCCAATGACGTTGCTCCAAAATACTAGCTTCTAGTGCCAACAAGAAGCGTCTGAGCTCCAAAACCGCCTCATTCGGTGCCAACCATTCGTCGCTGCTCTCTGCCTCGCCTTCACTTCGGGTCACCACTGCTGACTGGTTTGAGACCCTTTCTCTATTGCTTGGGGCATGACGGGCGTCATGGCTCCCGCCTCCCCCCCCCTATGACGTAACGCTCCCCCCCCAGTGCGCTCCGGGCACTGCCGCCGTGCGCATTGGGATCCGCGTAGGTGTCCGCGTAGGAATCCGCATAGGAGTCTGGTCCGCAGTCGTCGTCGTCGTCGTCGTCGTCGACGTCGTCGTCGTCGTCGTTGTCGTCGTCGTCGCTCGTGGCTCGTGGCCCGTCGCTCGTCGCTCGTCGCTCATCGTCGTCGTGCGCGCGGACGCGGCTGGAGCCTGTTTTTTTTATTCCGGGCCGATGACGGCAATCATTTGGGGGGGTGGAAAGGGGGTCGATGACGTAACGCTTCGCGCCAGCTGCGCCTGGGAGTGCCTAGGCATGACGGAGGACGGGGTGCACCAGCATGTAGGTGGCGATCCTCGCCGCGACGCCTGTGTACACCTCAGTGCTTGCGTGCACCACAGCGCCTGTCTACACCACACCGCCTATGTGCACCACAGCAGCCGCGTGCAACACAGCGTCAGTTTGTGCCACCGCGCGCGCGGGCACAACAGCTCCTGTGTACACCACAGCGCCTGCGTACACCACATCAACCGTGTGCAATACAGCAGTGTACACCACAATGCCTGCGTGCATTGCAGTGCCTGTGTACACTACGACGCTTGTGTGCGTCACAGCAACCGCGTGCAACACAGCACCACTGTTGTATGTAGAAATGTTAGAACGAATCATTCTGACAAAATGGAGCGCTTGTGGATTCCACCGAAAGCACCAGAAAATAATCCTTATGGACAAGGGAGCGCCAGGGGAATCTACGAGTCCTTCCGAGTTCGCCCGCATCACCGTAACTCCTCCCATCTGCGTCCAGGAGGCTCCAGCTAAATTGGCCGTCCGAAAACGAAGTGGGCCGTTTCAACAGACCATTTTGCGGCGCACTCTGAGTTGCGCACGTGCGTTGTAGTGCCAACCCGCACGACAGGGGGTAACGAAGATGAGGAGGATGAGGAGGATGAGGAGGAGGAGGGGGAGGAGGAGGAGGATGAGAAGGAGGAGGAGGAGGAGGACGAGGAGGAGGAAAAGGAGGAGGAGGAGGTGGAAGTGGAGGAGAAGGGATGAGGGAAAAACGTCGCATCCGATTATCAGCACTTTCCTGGCGTGGCGCTTCCGAAGCAGATTCTCACGTACAGGCTCCTTCTACCTGTCCTATGCACGCAGGCACTGTGGTGTACAATAGCGCTGCGTTGCACGCGGATGCTGTGGTGTAGACAGGCGCTGTGGCGTTCACAGGCGCCGCGGTGCACGCAAGCATTGTGGTGTACACAGGCGCTGTGTTGCACATGGTTGCCTCCAGTGTGCACATGTACTTCGGCGCTGTAGTTTACGCGAGCACTGCAGTGTACACAGGCGCTGCGTTGCACACGGTTGTTGCGATGTACGCAGGCGCTGTGGTGTACACGCGCGCTGTGGTGCACGCGAGCGTTGTGGTGTACACTGCCGCAGGGGGGCAGATCGCCACCTACATGCTGCTCGCGTCGTCGTCGTCGTCGTCGTCGTCGTCGTCGTCGCTTGTCGCTCGTCGCGTCGTGCGCTCGGGCGCGGCTGTGGTGCCAGAGCCACACGGCGGCGGGGGGCGTTACGCCATACCCCCCCCTGCCCCCCCCCTCGACGCCCGTCATCGCCGAACATAAAGAAACGCCCAGGAATGGCGCCACATGGACAACCTTCCCAAGTCGGGGGTGGTCTTGTCCGAGAGACATCGTACGAGTTGAACGATACGCCTGAGCACCTGCGAATTGGGGGACAATCTGCTTCTTACCCTCGTTTGCGCGATGCCACAGGCGGCCAATTCGGCATTTACAACTCTGTCGGAGCTCCCAATGACCTGATACGCGTGGCGGGGATTACATACTTGATTGGTCTTGTTCAGATCGTCTACGTAGATGCGCAAGGAAAGATCACATAATAGGCCATAAACTGGACAATGCGCGCGAAGCTGATGAGGATGAAGTTGCGCAAGCTTAGAGTTCCACAAGCGGGTCGGCTTTGAGAACGCTTCATAGGAGCTGAGCAGGTATCACCCTGAAAGTTGCGCGACCATTTTTGAAGAACTGCTGCGCGTCGGGGATCTCCACCAAGAATCTGGCTTGACGGTGTCTGGTGGCGATGATGTTCGTGTCGTCCGCGACATATTGACAGTGGGTGGCCTCGTCGAGCGTGTCGAAATACGTCGAAGCGAACGCGTTCGTCATGTCATGCTTCGTGTCGATGGTCGCAATGCCGCTTGCCTTGGTTCGCCAATTCAGTACTGCTGTGACTCGGATAGCTACCTCGCGCGACCGATGTCGAAGGCAACCGTATTGTGAGCAGGAATGGCAGACGATGGGGGGCCCGGAATCCTCCTCCTCCTCCTTATCTTCCTTCTCCCCTCCCTCCTCCTCCTCCTCCTCCTCCTCCCCTCCTCCTCCTCCTCCTCCTCCGCCTTCTCCCCCCAATCCTCCTCCTCCTCCTCCTCCTCCTCCTCCTCCTCTTCCTCCTTTTCCTCCTCCTCCTCTTCCTCCTCCTCTAGTGGTTTCGAGAACCCCCTTTATCAGGTATTTTCGGGGGGGGGGGTTCTGGACTGCCAGTTTCATCGTGCCCGTAGTAACTGTGTAGCGGGTTGAAGGCGCTGTTGCGGTTGACCAGACCTGGGGGGCAGCAAGACGCACCTCACGAGTCCACAGTTTGCCAAATGAGCACATGCCATGGAGAAGCCAGGTACTGTGGATGCTGTTCTTGCCGTTCATTTTGGGTAGCTGATACTTGTAGCCCTGGTTCCATTGAATCATCAGTCGCTGGGCTTCTCGAACCTGTCCCAAGAGATGGTGCACCCATTCCAACAACATACCTCTAACTAGCACTGGTGGCGGTGCACCCAAACCCATTTGCCGAGACGAGGACGAGGAGGAGGACGAGGACGAGGAGGAGGAGGAGGACGAGGAGGAGGAGGAGGGGCGAGGAGGAGGAGGAGGAGCGAGGAGCGAGGAGCGAGGGGCGAGGAGCGAGGAGCGAGCAGCGAGCAGCGAGCAGCGAGGAGCGAGGAGCGAGGCGAGCGAGGCGAGCGAGGGCCGGCACGCTGGGGCAGCACGAGGAGCGACGCCCGGCGGCCCCCGAGAGCGCCAGCTGGCGGGCCCTGTTTCAGCGTCGCTCGTGCGCGTGCACTTGTTCTCGGAGGGCGATCGACCTCCTACCCTGACAGGTCGGTTACTCCAGATTTCGTAATAAAAGGGAGGGGATCTCCCACGGGGGAGGTCTGAAATGGCTTGTCTTGGAGGGTCCAGACCCCCTCCCTTTTATTACGAAATCTGGAGTAGCGAATTGGCCGTTTCTGGTTCGCGAGAGGGCGCCGCGGCCGTCATCTCTGCGGGTCCAGGTCCGTCGGTTTCCCTCCTGGGCCGTTGTCACTAAGTGGGGCGGTTCACCAAAGGGAGGTTTGTCCACCGCCGATTTGTCTCGGCGAGGACTCAGGAGGGTAAGAAACACACAGACAGAATTAATCGTCGACTCCCAGGAAAATATGGGAGAATATGGGAAGTGCTGGGGGGGGGGGAAGACGACGACCCAGCAATTATGGGAAACCATGGGGAATCTTGTTATTTGTGCCTCTTTATATTAGCGTGGGTGATGTTGAGCCATCCTGCGAAACAAACTCACACGCGAAAGCGAGGACTGCACGGGGCACTGACGCCCGGTCGCCGGCAGGATGGGCCCCTCCCGGTGGCGCGCCGAGGACCTCGCCATGGGCAACAGCGTCAACCTGTGCAAGGGGCACCCCGCCGCCCGCCTCTCGGGGGGGGGACCTCCTCCTCCTCCTCCTCCTCCTCCTCCTCCTCCTCCTTCTCCTTCTCCTCCTCCTCCTCCTCCTCCTCCTCCTCCTCCTCCTCCGCCTCCGCCTCCGCCTCCTCCTCCTCCTCCTCCGCCTCCGCCTCCTCCGCCTCCGCCTCCTCCGCCTCCGCCTCCGCCTCCGCCTCCGCCTCCTCCGCCTCCTCCGCCTCCGCCTCCGCCTCCGCCTCCGCCTCCTCCTCCTCCTCCTCCTCCTCCTCCTCCTCCTCTTCCTCCTCGTGAGAAAATCACGACGGGCCTTTCTCGTTACAGCGGGGGCGCGCATCAAGACACCATGTGCTTTTCCTCGGGGTGTCCTGGGTTTCTTCGCCCTCTCGCGCTGCGCGGTGACTTCCGCAGCCGTTGAAGAAGCTGCTGCGTTCAGGATGCTCCAGGTTCCCCCTCGGGTGCACCTCGCGCACGGGTTCTCAGGGGTGGGTTTCTTGCAAGGGTTTCTTGCGGCCGCGCCCGCACTGCAGTGTGTCCATTTTCGGCCTCCGGGGGCCCTTCCTGGGTTTCGGGGCCGTCGGAAAACGGTTCAGCATGAAACACCGGCCCGCCCCAGTCCCCTGGAGTCGTGACCGAAATCACGACGGGCGTTTTTCGTCGTCTGCTTTCGGCCTCCGTGGGCCCTTACCGGGCCTCGGGACCCTGATGAAACGACTCAGGCTGAAGCATCGGTTCTGGCAAATGGGCCGAGATTTCTGGGGGTCGACGTCATGAACACGTAGTGGCGTTGAGGGTCTGGGGCTGGGTCGCGTCCCGGCCCTCCCTGGGGATGTCCCCGGGGTTTAAGGACACCTGGGGGTGGACTCTCGCGGAAGCTCCTTCCCAGGAGTGTCGGGCCGAACGAAAGGGGGGGATAGGGAAAGGGTGGGTTACGAAATCTGCTACATGCAGCTGGTTTCGGCCCCGCCGCCGAGCCCATTCCTCGATCTATATATATATATATATATATATATATATACATGGCCGCCTCCGGCGCCGGGAGGCGCCGGGAAAATCAGCTGCGTGAGCTGATTCTCAAACCCCCTCTTTGCTATCCTCCCCTTTCGCCCGGCCCGAGAGTGGTCTCCTGCGGGGGTCGGGAGCGGCCAAGAGGGGGGCGTCCAAGGGGGGGGGGCGCAAATCATGGCCGGCGGCATGTGCGCGGCCCAGAGGGGGGGCCGGGGACGTAACGAAAGAAGAAGAAGAAGAAGAGGAGGCGCCATGAAATCAGAGGAAATATCATGGCCTGTGCCATGATATCCCCCCCCCTCAGTCATCACCCCCCTCTTTGCTGCTCCCGAGGGGGCGCCTGGGGAAGACACTCGGTACTGGGGCCACGGCGAGTGTGCGGAGTCAGCCTTAAGTCGGGCCAGGCGGCCTGTCCCTCTACAGGGGGAATATTCAAAACTAGTCAGAAAATAGTCTGGGGCCTATTATTGGAGTATTTTCTGACCATTTTCGAGCATTCTTGCGGTATTTTTTATTTTTCGTCGAACGCCCCCCTGTATGGGGGACAGGCCCGACCTAGACTTAGCCGCGCCTCGCGCTCTGCGGTCTGGGCGTTTTTTTTTTTTTTTTTTTCCTCCGAGCGAGGCGCGGGGCCCCTCGCCCCGTTCGGGGGGCCTGCGGGGGCGGCGCAGGGCGCGCGGAGGCAGCGGCGCGCCGCGCTGCGCGCAGCGCGAAGAGAAACTTCGAGTCGGGCCTGTCCCTCCGCAGGAGGACTATTCCAACCCAGTCAAAAAGCAGTCTCGGGACGAGGTTCGGAGGATTTTTTTTTGCCATTTGGTGTTTTTTTTGGAGACATTTTTTTATTTCGCGTCCAGAAGCCCCCTGCAGGAGGACAGGCCCGACTCAAAGATAACGTTGCCCTGGCGTGAGGCTCAGGTGGTGGACTCCTGTGACCAGCCTCGAACTTATCCCTAGCCCCAAGATCGGCAGTCCCAAGGCGACGACAATCCTAGGGATGTGCCCTCAGAAGCTGAGGGAATCCTTGGGATCAGCACCGAGGCAAGGTGATGCCAAGCACAAGGATACAGTGCCGTTTTAAACACGTGCTCCGCGTGCGGATCATGTATTCAACATGCAGGGATTCAGTTTCAAAAACGACGATGAGTTCATGCATACATTCATGTATATAGATTAATCATGTGTTAAATCCGATATTTTTAGACATCCAATGTATTAAAAACTGCCCTGTAGGGACATGGCTCCAGCGGGTAATCCCCGGGGGAGGCCCTTGGCAGCAGCGCGAGCCTGCGCAACGGGGGGGCAGGCCCCCCGCCGCCCGCCCGCAGAGGGGTCGCGGCCCGGCCTTCGCTCGGAGGATCCGCCGCAGGTCTTCGGACGGCTCTCGTCGGTGTTCACTTCTCGTCGGTGCCCTGGCTCCTCGCTGGGCCGCCTTGGGCCGGTCTTGGGGGCCTCTTGGGACGTCTTGGAGAGTCAGGAGCTCGAAAAAAAGAGACCCCCGCAACATTGAACGGGAAATCCATATACACATATATATATATATATATATATATAGATATATGTATACAAATTTGTATATATATATATATATATATATATATATATACAAATGGGCCTCTCGGAGCCCTCTTGGGCCTGCTCTTAGGGCTCTCTTTGGGCGTCTCGAATGCTTTCTGGGCCGTAGGGCCATCTTGGGCGTCTTGGAACGATCGTGCGGCGATTCGGGGCGCCCTTGGACCGACTGGGCGGCCCCTAAGAGCCCTCTTGGCCAGTTTTTGGGTCCTCTTGCCCCGAAAAAGTTGTGTGGACCAGTACGTAGGGGAACAGTCGGGGGGGCCCAGAGGGCATGCGGGAAGCCCCAAGAGATTTAGCAATTGAGAAGCAGGGCCTAAGGGAGTAGGCAAATGATTCGAGGACACTCCAACTCGTGCCTCAAGGGCACGGTGGCGGATCATCGCTTGGACAGGAATAAAACGAGTATGAATAATCATGAAACGGAGAGGGGGAGAAGATGTGGAGGAAGATGACGAGGAGGAGGAAGAGGAGGAGGAGGATGAGGAGGAGGAGGCGGAGGAGGAGCAGGAGGAGCAGGAGGAAGAGGATTCTGATAATCTAGCAGGGAGGATGCAGGAGCACGAGGAGAAGGGGGAGGACGAGCAGGAGGATGAGGAAGAGGAGGATGCCAGAGGACGAAGGATGGAGGGGAAAGGAGGGAGGGATGGATGGATGGAGGGAGGGTGGCAAGGCTGGAAGGGCATGAGGGATGGGATGGACATGGAGTGGGGAAAAGGGGGTTGAATGACCTAATGAGCTGGCTGCGAGAAGCTCGGAGCCATGAGCGAGGAGCGAGGAGCGAGAGCGGGAGGGAGGGAGGAGTGAAGAGGTATGGCGTATGAGGGAGGAGGGAGGAGCGATTGGGGCAGGAAGCAACGAAGGGGGAGGTATGAAGGAGGCGGCAGGAAGCAGGAACGAGCAGCCTGGCTCGAGAAGCGAGGAGGAAGGGGGGGGGTGAGCGCCGGTGGATGATGGGCCAAGCTATGTGTACATCTGACATCCTACCACTCCCTCCCATTCCTTCCCATTGCGCTGATTGTTTCTCTATCCGCGGACGCGTGTCCTTGCCGACCTGGAGCTCCAACAAACTACCCCATTGTGTTATGCGCAGTCGGGCAAGTTGAGCTGCGTACGCAGGATGAGGTGGTGGGTGAGCAGGAGGACGAGCAGGGTGAGAAGGACGGGGCTGTGGAAGGACGAGGACGAGGACGAGCAGCAGCAGCAAGCTGGAGTGAAAGGAGCGGGAAGAGCAGGAGGACAAGGGGAAGGCAGATGAGGGGGATGGGGGCGACAACGGTTAAGACGGGCCTGTCCCTCTACAGGGGGAACATCCAAAAACAGTTCAACATACCCTGGGCACTTTTTTAAATAGTAGTTTTGGGCATCTTTTGACTTTTTTCGGAGTGTTTTTCATTTTTCGTCCAAATCCCCCTGTAGGGGGACAGGCCCGACCTAAGATCACGGTGAGAAAGGACTCGGACCCAGAGAAGCGGCCAACGCTGGGGCGAGATGGCCATTCTAAAGCGAGGCCCACGTTGCAGCGGGAGCAGCATTCTGAAACACCGAGAGCAATCGGATGGTAAACAACCATAGGAAAGACCACCTGCGTCTCATTCTGTTTAGCAGACACTCGCTGGGAGGATCGGCCATTTTCCAGATGGAGTCAGGGGAGATAGGAGGGTAGCAGTCATAACTTGTCACGGTGAAGGGGTGAACAGCGAGGAACAATTGTGAGCAGGATGGATGAGGATCGGAATGGAGGGTGAATGGAAGGGAAACGGGGGTGGTCGGGAGGAAGAGGAGGAGCAGGAGGATGTTGCAGGATGTTGCAGGCCTGATCTCCGCAGTTGCGAGGCATGCATTGCGACGACGATCGAAGCCTCACTCACCCCAGGCCGTCCCTTGGCGATGGAGGTCGGCTTTGGCCAAACATTTGGGCTCCAGTTTTGCCCCCCGCTTGTCGCAAGAGGCTGGCTTGAGTGCTCTCGACGATATTGGGCTCCAGGTTCGCCCCCTGTTTCTCACAAGAGACTTTCGACTGGTTCCCGATGAAATGCAACCCTGCCTCGCACGATTGCTCCCCAGTCTTCCGCACACGAGCTGATCCCAGTACCGTACTTGGTGATGCACGCCCCTGTACTTCCGTGCGCGACTCATCCTAGCGAAGTTAGTTAGATGCCGTCGGGCTCTATCATTGCCTCCCACTTCTCGCAGCAGTTTTCTCGCAGCGCCAGTGTCTGCGGAGTGCATTCCCCTCATCCACGGCCACTGCGCGTCCCTCTTATCGCGCGGACTGCTCCCAGCGTTGTAGCTGATCGTGGCCCACCCGCGCTTTTCGCTCAGCACCAGCGTCCGCTGCCACTGCGCTCGCCCTTTCTCGCACGGACTGCTCCCAGCGTTGTAGTTGATCGTGGCCCACCCGCACGTTTCTTTCGCTCAGCACCAGCGTCCGCTGCCACTGTGCTCGCCCTTTCCTGCACGGACTGGCCCCAACGTTGTAGCTGATCGCCCATCCGCACGTTTTGCTCAGCACCAGCGTCCGCTGCCACTGCTCACTCCCTTTCTCGCACGGCTTGCACCCAGCATTGTAGCTGATCGTGGCCCCCCCCCGCACGCTCCTCTCAGCCTGCCTCCAGCATCTCGCGTTCCAGCCAGAGCTTGCTGCCGCTGCCTGCCTCTCTCGCACGCGCTGGCTTCGACGTCAGGCTCTAGATTCGTCTCCGTGTCTCGGAGTCGAGCCAGCGCCTGCTGCCACTGCCCGTTGTTCTCGCACGCTTCGGCGTTGTAGCTGAGCACGTCGGGCTGTTCTCTACTCTTGCCCGCTCTCGGAGCCAGGCCTGCTCGCTCTTCTCGCACGCGCTGATTTCAGCAATGTAGCTGATGAAGGCGTCGGGCCCCTGCGCTTTGTTACCAGTGTGCTGTGCAGCGACACCAGTGCTCGCAAGGAGGAGGAGGAGGAGGAGGAGGAGGAGGAGGAGGAGGAGGAGGAGGAGGAGGAGGTGCAGGATGAGGAGGAGGAGGAGGAGGAGGAGGAGGAGGAGGACGAGGGAGGGGGCGCGGGAAGGGAGAGGACGAGGGGAGAGGAAAACATTGGCCCCTCTGCATGAGCCTATTCACGGCTAGCTGCCGCTTTTTGTTGGCCCATGGTTCTTGATGGCTCACCGGTGCAACGCCGCTCCGAAGTTCGCATCGGGAACGCCCAGGCCGGCCCACGCAGGGAGGGGCCGCTCGGGCGCGGAACGGCTAGGACGAGGAGGGGGAGGAGGAGAAGGAGGAGGATGAGGAGGAGGAGGAGACGGAAACGGAGCGCGCGCTTGCGAGGGCGCTGATCTGTTCGGACCGCGTCATCACAGTTTCCCCCAACTACATGAGAGAGATCCAGACGCCGCAGGGCGGCTTCAACCTTCAGGACCCGCACCAACTCCCCGCAGCTCCCTTCCCCGCTGGTCGCAGCGTGCGCGATGCCCTGCTCAGCAGGTGGCCCCCCGCTGGGCCCTGGGGCCGCCACCACCACTCGAGCCGCACATCCGGCATAACGTGTTGGCACGACAGCCGCCCTAAGGCCGCCGAGGGAAGCATGTAGAGCATGGCAGCGCAAAAAGGCGCGGTGGAAGAGAAGGGGGAGGGGAAGGGGTGTGACAGAGCAGACAAGTGTCATGACATAGGATTCTCATGCATGTTGGGACAAGTTCTGTACTCCATAAGTTCACAGCCGTCCTGGCCGGCCGACGCCGACGACGTCGACGACGCCGCGGGCCCCGGGACCGCCGACAAGCCAAGACGGCAAGCGATCTGGGCTGGCAGCTGGCCCCGGGGACGGAGGCCGAGCCTTCGGGGGGTCCAAGCCGTGAGAGAAAAACACGAGGTCGGAGGTCTGGCTTTAGGCTTTAGCGCTGGCCCCCTGTTGACCTGCGGCGGCGCTGTGAGGGAGGCTCGAGGAAGGCCCAATGCGTCCCCAAGCCTCGACCCCTGATCCTGCGCTGCGCTCCCCGCGTGGGCCCCGCCCCGGAGGAAGCCAGCTATTCACCAGCACCGATGCTGGGCCTGGGATCGCTGAGTGCGTCGTCCTGGCTTGGCCCGGGCACAGTTCCTGGGCCCAGGATGGCCCTGACCAGGATCGGCTTCGGTGTACGGTCGGAGTGTCAAATGTTGTGTCCGACCTTCCCCCCTCTCCCGGTCGAGGCAGATGCCGAATCGCACCACCCTGTTTCCCAGTCTTTGTCGCCGTCGCTTTCCCCATCCGCTGAATGGAGCATTCGCGGGCGGCTACTAGCAGGTATGATCACATTCGTTTCTCGGCGCTCTGGCGCCCCCGACAAGCTCTTGTAGGGCCATCCTCGGCCCAGAAGTGAGCCGAGCCTGGCCCAAGGCTGCCGCAGCTTGTCCAGGCAGGCCCAGGTGGCTTCCAGAGCACCCCTCAGGAGGCTCAGACTGCCCCAGGAGTTCCAAACGGTGCGAAAAGCTGGCCGGGTCGAATGACCAGCTCGTCTCCTTCGCCTCCCCCCTTGAGCCTCCCAGCCGCCATGAAGCGATGAGGTCCTGAGGGGAATTGGTCCTAGACCCGCGGTTTTCCCCAGCACCAGTTTTGCATCCCGAGTTGTTCTGTGATGGCTCCCGGGGGATGGTCCCATGGGAACCCGCTTCCTGATCCCCTAGCGATCGCAGTCGTGACTTGGGGCGGGCGGAGGGGGCCAGTCACGTCGCGATTCGCGGTGGGAACCCGGGAGTCGTTTGCCAGCGGCGAGTAGGAGGAGAGAGGGGGGGGTCGCTACCCCCCCTGGTTTTCCAAGCGGGGGGGTTCGAACTGGTAGTGACCCCGCCCGGTTTTCCGGAAGGGGGGGGGGTCGCTGGGGGAGGAGGGGGGGAGGGGTTCGAGGAGAGGGGGGGGGGGATTTTCGGAGGGGGGGGATGAACCCGTCCGGAGGAAGAGGGGGGGAATTTTCCAGAGCAAAGCGGCGGCGGATCACGCTTTCTCTCTCTCTCTTTCTGTGTCTCTCTCTCTCTCTTTCTTTTTTTTTTTTTTTCTCTCTCTGTCTCTCTCTCTCTCTCATATATATATATATATATATATACATTTATACACATATGCATTCGGCGTTTTGGGGCCTTTGCCGGGCCGCGGGGCCGTCTGAAGGCGACTCATCATGAAAAGCCGGTCCAGGGGATCGGGGCGAGATTTCTGGGGGTCGACGTCATGAAGGCATCATGACGCTGGGGTCTTGGGAGGGGGGCGGGGATTGTGGAGGGGGGGCATCATGGCCAGAGCCGTGAGACCTCGCAGACCTTCTGGCCCCCATTCTGTTTGTTCGAGGCGCTCCCTGTCTCCCCTTCCTCGTCCGCGCACGCGTGCATCGGACCATCCTTTCACCGCGCTTCGAAGTACAGTGCCGCTTTTGAGACATGCTCCGCATGCGGTTCATGAATTCAACATGCAGGGATTTAGTATTAAG